TCTTCTTTTTTTTTCTTTTTTATTTTCAGGAAACCAAAATCCAAAATAGCAAGTGAATAGGTAGAACATAGAATCTTTTCTTTTCCTACGTATTCTTGGCATCCAAACAGAGCTTCAGAGCACATAAAACAGCGAAATTCATAACGATCACCAATTAAGTTACTCAAATAGCATCAATTTCCACATAAACACAATCAATCAGTGCTTGAACCTCTAGAAAATCCAATCCAAACGAAACGAAAGGTTCGCACCTCACGAACCCAAGCTCCTAGGTGCGAACCCACGAGCTGGGTTCGAAAGGAACCCAAGCTCCTGGGTGCGAACCCGCGAGCTGGGTTCCTCGCGAACCCAGGTTCTTGGGTGCGAACCCAGGAGCTGGGTTCACGAGGAACCCAAGCTCCTGGGTGCGAACCCGCAAGCTGGGTTCCTCGCGAACCCAGGCTCTTGGGTGCGAACCCACGAGCTGGGTTCGCCTAGGAGAAAAAGAAAAAAAAGAAGAGGCCGGAGGAAGGAGAGGATGGGGAAGAAAGAAGAGGGTAAATTAGTAATTAAAGGAAAAAATTTTACCATGTCATCCATATTTGAGGGCAAATCAGTAATTAAAAGTAAAAAATTTAACCATATCATCATTTTTCGCCAGATGGATATTCCACGTAATTTAATGAAAAAACAAAATGAGTTTTTTCGTTAATTAACGTGCCACATCAGCCAAAATTTAACGAAATGACTAAAAAGGGCTAAATTTGTGAACAGTAAGGACCAAAAAAGAAAGTTTTTCGGTATAAGGACAAAAAAAAACTTTTTTCTATAGTAAAGGGACCAAAAAAGGTATTTCACCTCGCTTGGGTTGGATTCTCTGCCTTACAAATCATTGCTTTTGTTAGGCACTGGCACTGTTCCACCAAACCAAAAGGAAAATGAAAAAAAAAAAAAAAAGAGGTAGAGAAGACTACTAGATTAAGTGGGTCTAAAGTTGTCATCCGTGCAACAGTCCCTGCTTCTCCATTTCCCAAACATCACTTCTCCTTTTTCTGTCTCTACTGCCTGCGAAAGGTTTAGACTTCAGACTGAGAGAGCAACAATAAGATGGGAAATGTTCTTAGGTCCTTGTATGGGTGCTGCTGCAAGCCCACCTCCACTGAAGACTCCGACTATCTAGGGCCACATGGCGTCTCCGCCTCCACCGTGGGTGTCTCAGCTCTTGCACATGATCTCTTCAACTTTGAAAATACCTCCCAGGTACGTTTCAGGGTATTGATGCTCAGATCCCAGCCTGTTTTTTCTTTTTCTCTCTTTCTATTAGCTTACAGTGAGCTTAAACAGGAAATCTGGGTTAAAAAAAATAAACTTTGTCTTAGGTTCCTGAAGGACTCAGTAAGCATGTTCAGTCATCCAAGAAGGCTCAGGCTAAATGGTATGTATTGTTATCATATTATTGACTCAGTAATTGCTTAATTAATTTCAAGTTATTGACTGGTTTTCATGGCTTCTTATGTATCGAAGAAAATAATTTTATGTACCCAAATTTGGGTTTTTGTGGTCTGACTAAATTTTGGGAATAAAATGAAGGTATAGAAAGCTGTTAGAGGCATGGAGAGTGGCAAAACCCCCACCTAAAACACCAGAAGAAGCTGCTAGGCTTGTCATCCAGACTCTGGAGAGGCATCAACAGGCAGATGTTGAGGTACATTAAAGAAAAAAGAAACAAAAGCACTGGTCTGTTTCATATAATCCTTAGAACTACAGGAAGAAGGGACTAATGCGTTTCAGATTGTTCTGTGTTTTGATGTTTTATAGGGATTATTAGCATTCTATGGTCTTCCTCTACCTCATACTCTCATCCAACTTTCTGCTGAAATTCCAACATCATTGCCTGAAGGGGTTCAGTTTGAGCTGTATACATTACCAGTTAGAACTTTTATCTTTCTACTGAATCCAGTTTGTAGTATGTGAAGACATCTGAATAGTCATTGAGTTTAATACCATGTTGAAAATCATCAGGTGGATGCAAGAGCTGTAGGAGATGGGGATGGCATGACAGTTTATGTTAGCACTGAATCAGAAAGCGTTCCTGGAGAGGTATCGCTGGCTGTTGATAAGCGAAAAGAGGCGCGTGCTAGGAAGGATTATACCATAGCAGATGAATATAAGCAGATGATTATTGATTCAGGATACCGGTTGCCAATTTAATTCAGATTGTGAATGAATTAAATTTTATCTGATATTCTTCATTCCCAGTTGTTAATGGGTGGTATTGTTGTTGACAGGGTCTTTAAAATTCAAAATGGTGAGGAGATCCTTGCTCGAAAGTGTCGCATTCGTCTAAGGTAATACATCTGCTTAATGAATTTCAATATTGTCTTACAGTGATTGATAGTTAGGCAAAGTGAATAGGGGTATAGACGCACCAGAGATGGAAATGCGGTATGGGAATGAGGCAAAAGAAGAGTTGGCTAAGCTTGTTCAGGGGAAGTGTTTAAGAGTGCTAGTATACGGGGAAGATCAATATGGGCGCGTTGTTGGTGATGTATACTGCAATGGCATATTTGTGCAGGTACTATTTTATTTAGCATGGTTTCTGTGTTATTAAGTCGGAGCCATGTAGTTTTCTTATCTCTCTGTTAAACAGGAAGCAATGCTCAAGAAAGGGTTTGCTTGGCATTTTAAAGCCTTTGATCAACGCCTGGAATTTGCAACTGTGAGTATCTGACTATCCTTAATCATTCATGAAAAACAACATCCTTAATCATTCATTAAGTTTGTTGTGTTGATTCTATGTCTTTGTACTTGTGTGATTCTAGTGGGAGAGAGAGGCTCGACAAAAGCGAGTTGGCTTGTGGGCAGATGCCAACCCTGAGGAGCCCTGGGAATGGAAGAGAAGGAATAAACGAGAAGGGTGATAATATTGACTTGATGGAAGATAAATCATGGCAGATGGAGGAAGATACAGAAAAGGATCATCTGTAAAATGTTTCGAGTACTGTAAAATGAGTATTGTAAAATATGTGTTGACAAGTTAAACATGGGATCCCTGTGTTCCAATATCATTCTTAATCTATAAACCTGTGTTCTAATTTGAAAGAACTAATCTCACAAGTTATCAGAAATAAGATCGGAGAAATACCATGCATGAACCAACACAATATAAATTTTCTAAAATACTAACATCAGTACAATTTCCAACGATTTTCTCGGTAGCAAATAACTGAGTAATCAACTGAAGAAACAAAGAATGCGAGCTTGCTATGATTGTAGCAATCTAGGATAATGTGAAAGACGCAAAATGGAACTAGAACAGGAAAGACAAAAATAATCTCTCCATTGGCATGAAATTTAGCTGACTCCGGAGGCATGTTACAAATAGTCCACTGCTGTAGAAGAGAAACAGGTCAGTACATAACAATGTTCTATGTTCAAACTTCAAAAGAAAGCATCACAAAACATTTAGTCAAAGGAGTATGTAGTTCATCATGGCATAACCTATCCTTGGGCGGGGAGGAGAGGGGAGGGAATTGAGTCATCATGCCATAAAAGAATAAGAAAAGCACCAGATAACCAGTTCAGCCTCAAAGATCTCCCCAGTTAACCCTTCCAAATCTCTAACACAAAATCCCCATGCATGTACATGGTGGAAAAGCGATATAAGAAGCCCAATGACAGTAATTAAGAATAAATGGTATTAGAACTGTAGCAAAGTTGACCCTTACAGACGACTCACACAGGATAAGAGGGACTAAGATACACCATCTAAAGTGTAAACCAATCTGAATTAGTTTGTTGGCAATGCAAACTGAAACCTTAAATACTTTGGCAACCAGAAGAGGATAAGACTAACGATACCATCTGCAAAGATAATTTGATCGAATATTTGAAAATAAGAAGAAGAATAGTAAGAATTCAACTCACGTGTATATACACGGGTAATTCTGACAGGAAATTAGCTAAAATGGATCTATAAATGACAAAGAGACTTAGCATTCTCAAGTTCTTCAGAAGGAAATCAAATAAGCAATCATAGAACAAGCATGCATCTGAGAGAGAAAAAAAGAACGATATTTAGAGAAAAGTC